TGGCACGTTTATTGTATATACATTGTATTAGATTTTATAAAAACGTATACATGCCTCTGTATATAATTGTATAAAGTTTTACCAAATATTATACACATTTGTAAAACACCCTTTATATCGTTATATTACGGTGTACACAATCATATTCAATTTTATAAAAGTCTATAAATTGTAATAACATTTCTTAGTGAGTTGTATACAAACCGTTTCACCCGGGGCCTTATAAACGACACTTTTATTCCGTACTGTTTCATTTCTCCTCCAAAATGTAATCGATTCAGTGGCTTCATAGTCTCGGCCCGTCGGCTCCCTGCGCCGGGTGGGTCGTTTGCGCAAGCGCGCAGATTGCACTCACCTTGTCACATCCACGCGTGATCACGCGCTGACCCCCGCGGTGCTGCGCGGTGCGGCGCTGCGGTCCAGGGCCTAGGTGCGGTGCGGTGCGGTGTGGCGGGGCGGGGCGGGGAGGGGCGAGGGCAGACGTGAGCGGGATGCGAAGTCTCTTGCTCTTATTTTTCAGATGTCCTCTACCGTGTCCACGTCTGCGTTGTACGGCCCCCGTGCAAGGTCGGCCCGGCGCTGTCCTGGCAACGTGAGATCATCCTCCTTCCGCCGTCACCATGGCACCCGCCCCATCTTGCCAGCCTCTCCGCGCCATTTAAAAGCCGCACCTGTTTAACGACAGACGACAAAACCCACCTTGATCCAAATTCTACTTACAATTTTGTTCGCCTAAAACCAGACGAATTGTGTAAAAGTGTACACAATTTGTGTAAATTTACAAACAAACTTGCAGCCGGTCAAAACCAGCACAGCGTGACCACATTGTGGTCATGCCGCAAAGAACTTGTGCTACAAGAATTTAGCTTTCTGAGAGTACAACTTCCCATTGTTTCCCATTTTTTGAGCAAAGCAAAGTGAAGTCATCCGCAACAATATCAACAAATTCCGTAAGATCTTTGCAACCCTCACATGCCTTTACTGAAATAATATAATACAAGACCAGATCATTACATACATGTCATCTGCTTTCGCTATCCGTTCCTTGGCAAAAAAAAATTTCAGAAAAATAATTTAATGTGCAGCTTCCAGAAAATTCTGTGCATGCTCTATGGTTAGTTTTTAATGCACTCTCTTCACACCTCACTCCATTAGAGTCTTCATTTATCAATTGGAGGGATGGAGGCAAATAACAGTTGACTGTTAGAAATAACTGTATAACTAATTTTCCTTGTTAGAACTACAGAACTCATCACCCCACACATGCGTCAGTCATTTGTATTTGTTTCATAGAACTCTAACCAACACCTATTAGTTCTAGCACCTAATAACATGCTATTTGATAAATTGGCTTTTGGCTTCAACAGAAAAGACCGACTTTATTCATCAAAGGTGGGACTGAGAAACACTAAGGTGACACAGCCACACACATGTGCGGTGACGGTGTTATAATTACTGCAGGTAAAAACTCACTTTGTGCAACATTCCAAAAGGTTCAACAGGGGTTGGCCATGCGAAAACAGGTAGCTAATAACCTCAAAGGGTTATGTGGTAGCGGTAGTAAAGCAGCCAAAACCTTTGGCAAAGACTCTACATAAGACGATGCAAAACTTGTGGGGGATGATAATCCGAGAACAGCTCCAACTGCCACCGAAGTGTTCCACACTGAACTTTTACTTTAAGTTTGGCGATAAATTCTAGATTGTCTTTGTTGCGACGCCATGTTGCGCTCCGACGAATAGCGGGGCGGGCGGGCTGACTGAGGAGACAAGTAGCGCGCTCTTGCGGGGTGATTTGGAAGTCTGGAACATTTTGGCCTTCCCTCCGGTAGTACCACAGTCAGACACTGCGTGCCCCCCTTTAAACCGATATGTAATCATATTTTGAAAAGGACACTACGCATGGCATGCAAATTACAGCACACAAGCTACGTACTTTATTCGTGGTTCGCCCTCAATTGACTTTAGTTCATAGCTCATAGAATTGGCAGCCTTTGGGACCACCAAATTGCGCTGTTTTCCCCACAATTTTGTCCAAAAGAAATATTTATCTGCCCGGGCAGCTATGAGGAATAAAGTGGGACGTTTAAGGTTTTGCACTTACCAGATGGATAGTGCCAGTCGAATTGGTAGTTTTCGGACAACCAAATGTTTGCAAACCTGTGACAGAGGCGAGTCCCCCTTTCTCCGCGCGTAAGTTTACTTTCTCACCTCCACCACAAGCCGCACGCGTCGCCCACGAGCAAATTATTGTCTGAACGGCGACAGACACTAAACTCGACGGCGCCGGCGCCGCAGCACTCTGCAAATATTGCGCAACCCCTTTTGGCACTCGCTCGCGCGCCGCGCACTTGCTGTTCCATCCTCATATATACACGCATCGGAAAGGTTGAGGCTACGGTCGCGACGGTATGTATGGAAATCTGAGCCGCCCATAGGCAGAACTGTTGTCATCGCTTTCCCTGCCGCCGCCCGGCCGGGGCCGGCCCAAAGCGCATACAGCTGGTAATGTTGGCCGTTTAGTGCTTCGCTAGCGACGCGACGCTGCTCGGGGCGGAAAGGTTACACGGATGGGGCCTTATGCCGCGCGCCACATCGCGCCAAAGCGTCGCCCGGAGACATCGCGGGGCGAGCAGCGCAAGCTGAGCGCAAGCACCGAGGTGAATTGGGAAATTAGCGACGGCCACAGAGAACATGCTGATTTATTATTGACATCGGTGCAGGCGCGCCGCCCGCGAGCCGGCCGCCGCAAGGCCGGAAACGGATACGGCCCGTCCGAGGAATCGAACGGAAACCGAGATGATATGAACGTTACCTCTCCGCCGAGCTGACCGCCGCCCCCCGCGCCCAGTCGCCCCGTGGCTACGGCCGTTTGTCACAGAGAATGCGAACCCGAACACCCGAGTACACAAGCATTTCCCTCCTCTCCCCACCCGGGCCGCAGTCCCAGTCAGTTACAGCCAAGTTACGGCCGGGAAGGGGGCTTTGACGTCAAAGTGCCGAAACATGTAGAATTAACGCAAACCGTCAACCGCCGTTTAAAACTTGACCATAGGAGGCGCAAAACATAAAATTAATTGTACGTTAAGGAATAAACTTGTTCTCTAACTTATATCGTTCAACTTCTGATGTTGATTGGATCATTCAAAACATGCGTCTACGTCTTCTTACGAATCCACTAATGTGTCGTTTCGAAATTTCGAATTACAACCTCTGCAAGGTCTCATAGCGCCTAAGAGGTAGGCACCAATTAACTAGTAGTGCATGTGCGTACAGCGGGTGGCCTACCCCGAGTATCGCAGGCGCCGAGCTCACGCAATTTGCCGAATGATCCAATGAATCCGAGAAACAGACATTCTAGACAATTCCTGAGAAGAACAAGTACTGTTCTCAGCGCAGTGTTAAAATATTGTCGCACCTGCGTAAATTAGCTCGCCCTAATCCACCAGCACGACGAATATTTAAAATGACCACACGTAGTGAATTTTGTACAGTGCTCTTGTAATTTCGCTTACACAACTGAAAAAATTACATTATTGAAGTTGAACACCCTTCATAATCGTGGAATTTCACGAACTTGCAGTTGTTTATCAAAGGCCAGTTGGACATATTTTGACACCGCCTCAGGGACCGCCCCGCCGCCGCCGCGCCGCCGTGTCCTCCGCAGGCGGTGCAGCCTGTCTCCCGACCAAAGCCCCTCGCGACGTCCCGCGCCGCCATCGACGTAAATTATAGCCAAAAAGACGCAGCCAGTCGCGGCGCGACTTGACTATGGAGACAACGGTTACACAAGACGGCAGCGGCATGGGGGAGATAGATGTATATTCCACCGGAATCATAATAGTAAAAAGTAAAACGAGACGGCGAGGAGGTAG